ATTCACAAAAAACAACATGCACAGCCATGAAATGAAAGTGATCCTCTACTGAATTTCTGAGACTTTAAATTGCAACAGGAGATGATGGCCCATCTTTTCCCCTCAGAACTGAGCCACCAGTAGATTCAGACCCTTTAGAGATGCATGGCCCTTTGGTTAGTAATGCAACATACATCATCACTTGTTGTTAGGTGCCATCAAGTCTAGTATGGCTTATGGCAACACTATGAACATCCAACCTGAACCCTGCCCTATCCTGTGACACCCTTGTTATCTCTGACACGCTAGAGCTCATTACTGAAGTCACTGTGTCAACCCACATCATTGGAATTCTTCCTCTCCTTCACTGACCCTCCATCTTTGCAAGTATGATGTCTCTTTCCAGGAAACAGGCTTGCCTAGTAACATGTCCAAAGTATGAAGCTTTGCTATCTTCCCAAGACATATCTGTTTGTTCTTTTGGCAGTCCGTAGGGTATGAAGTGTTCTCCAACACCAAGAATGTGGCATCAGGATTGGAGGAAGGCTCATCAACAACCATTAAGCTGATGGCACAATTTTGCTTGCTGAAAGTGAAGAAGATATAAAACACTTGCGGAAAATCAAAGATTCTAGCCTTCAGTGTGGGTTACATCTTAACATCAAGAAAACAAAGATCCTACCACAGGACCAACAGTCAATATTATGACAGATGGAGAAAGGATTGAAGCTGTAATTTTCATTGTACTTGGATCAACAATTGGTACTCTTGGTACCAGCAGCCAGGAAATCAGGAGACATATTGAGTTGGGCAAGTCCGTTGTCAGGGACCTCTCCAAAATACTAAGGAAAAGTTATAACAGTTTGAAGACTAAATTATGTCTAATTCAGGCCATGGTCTTCTCAATTACCTGCTATGCATCAGAATGCTGGCCAGTGAGTAAGGATGGCAGAAGAATAACTGATACTTTTGAATTGTGTTGGAGAATGCTGAACATCCCATGGACTGCTATACCACTGGAGTTCCTTAAATACAACATAGCTTCTGATTATTCAAGAATCTTATTTCCTAATTTTTGCCAAATAAGATCAGAAACCTTTAGCCGAGCTCTCAAAGCCTGACTCCACATTCATTTTCAATCACCTAGAGGACCATGTATCCATTATATTCAGACTCACAAAACCTCTGTCTGGTTTCAGGTAGCACCCTATCATTTAATGTTTATTAATTATGTTTTTTAAACAAAATATGTTTGTGTGTGTTGTTGTTGCTGTTGTTGTTGTTTAAAATATGCACAGCAAAATATAAACCAATTAAAAACTGCAACTGTTGTGTATTGCCTTCCAGCTTAGGGTCCTCATCTCCCAGTGCTGTACTGGATAACATGCTGTTGATACCCACAGATGTTTCTGTGACTAATTATGAAAAGCAGATCATCAGGTCTTTTTCCTTCGTTTGCCTTAGTTTTGACATGACACTTCACTGTATGAGTGAGCCCGCTGGTATTTGCAATATCAGTGGCCCAGCTTTGAGCATCCCAGATATACGTAAGTCACACAGCACAGCTAACTGACACACAGGTCAGTGTGACAGTCTGGGTGAACTTAGAAGAACCACTCACTGTCTTAATCTTTCTTTATTCCAAGTAATATTCCTTGTACTATTTTGTTCTGTTCCAATAAAGGAAATAGATTCTTCTCTTGCACTGTCCTCATTTAACCCATTAGAAAATTCAGCCATGGAGAGCCTGTTACTGGTGCAGATTTTGTCGTGAGTCAGCAGCAGAATACAAAGGAAAGCCAAGACTCCAGGCTTCTCCTGCTGTACATTCCCCTTGGTATTCCTCTGTCTTTTAAAAACATTTAAACACTTACTAATTACAAGTCAATTAATACTGAGTGCCTGGTGGAGTACTTGTGAAAGGTCCCTAGCATATTGAGATCAGCTCTAAAATAATGGTGTATCAGGTGTACTGTGTGGCTATAACAAAAGGACCTGGGGGAATAAATAATGAACACTGCATTGGAGCAGATGAGGACAAGAACTGTTTAAAAGGAATATACTTTATCTGTATGACAGTAGGCCAGAATAAGAGGCACATTGCAAAGTAAGCAGAGGGAGGGAGGAAATTGTGCAACAGTGAATTATTTCTTTTTTAAAGTGATCTGGGGGATGGGAGAGGGTAAGTGGAAAATGTGAAACAATAAATGAGTGAAAATGCAAATTTTCTTTACACTTTTGTTAAAATCAGAATAATTTTTTAAAAGAGATGAGAGGGGCGGAAAAGCACCTGAGACATTTTCATTTTATGTGAACTTGGCACCAAGTAAGAAAACAAAATAGTCAGGTGAGGACTTCAAGGACAGAGGGCTCCATAAATACAGCATCAAAGGAACAAAATTCATCCTAGCCACTGGAATAAAACAACTGGGGATAATTCCTGACTCTGCAGTATTGAAACCACAGGAAAATGGCCTGTTTCTCAATTTTCTTATCCAAAATTTTCCTCTTGGTTATGCAGAGGTGAGTGAGGTGATCCATGCAAGGCATTTAGGAAAGTGCTCAATCATCATAAAGGTTCAATAAATTATTATTGTGAAAACCATATTTCATCGAGATCTTTTCTTAGTAGTCATTCATGTACCCACCAGGCCATGACAGCTCCCGATTACGGTACCAGAAGTCAAGAAATCAAAAGACCTAATAGTTCTTGGACTGTCTCCTGTCAGAAACCTCTGGAAAGTACCAAAGAGCAATAATGCCAGCTTAAAGACTAAGGTGTGCCTGATTCAGACTGTGGTCTCTCCTATCACTTCTAAGCATTTGAGAGCTGGATAGCGAATAGTGTGATAGAAAAAAAAAAAAAAAAAGATCAATGACTTTGAGTTGTGGTGTTGCAGGAAAGTGCAGAATGTCCCATGGGCTGCCAAAAGAAAAAGAAATATATCTTAGAAAAAATACAGTCAAAGTGTTTTTTAGAGACAAGGATGGTGAAGCTTTGCCTCACATACTTTAGGCATATTGTTAGGCGAGGCTATTCTTTGAAAAAGGACATCATGCTTGTAAAGGTGGGGAGCCAGTGAAAGAGAAGACAACCCTTAGCAAGATGGATCAACACAATGGCTGTGGTACTGGGCTCAAGTGTATCAGAGATTATAAGAATGA